TTCGCAGCCCGTCATCGAGGGCAGGTAAAGGTCAGACATGCACGTCTGGTCATCCCTCCTCGCCGTCCACCTGCCTTCCCCTATCCAGCCCCTGCTCCCTGCCCCCGCTGACAGGATGCGGCTGAGACACGCTAACCAAGGCCAAAGCCCCACTACTGATTCCTTCTCTCAAAAATACAAGAGACATGGGTGGTGTCACCAGGGGCTTCTGGAGCTAAACCATCACATAGAGACAAGAGTGGAACAAAAGTCACCATGAACCAGAGTTACTGGGAAGTAGGCACTGTCCGTGAAGGAAAGAGCCTGGTCTGCAAAGGAGGGAGCAGGAGCACAGGGAGACGCAGAGAGAGGTGGCAAGGTGGGACAGAGCGTGAAAGTGGCCCTCCCCCCCACCCCGGCGGGGGGGAACAGCTCACAACCCGGAGAGAAAACCGACTACGAATCTTGGCTCCCAGCTTTCTCATTCCCACGTCAACGAGGCCCAGCCAGTCTCCCTTGCCTCCCTGTGGGGGGGCCCTGAGACTCCCCAGGAGTCGTGGCCTCGCAACGACTTGCCCCTTCTCACTGAGGTAGGCTAGTTTCTTGCACCCACAGAATCTAGCAAGGAGGGAGACTTTACCTCCGAGGCTGTTTGGCCTAGTGGGAGTTTGGCCGAGTCTGTGACTGGCACTTCCTTCTCCCACCTCCCTGTGCACCCCCAGGAATGGCATGTGTGGACAAAGGCATCAAGACTGCTACCTCAGCGGCCGGCACGGAAAGCCAACGCCCCTCCCTGTCACCGGGGAACTTCCCACCCCAGCCTCCCACAGGTCCTTGCACTGGAGAAACCTCTTCCGTTTACCATCCCCCTTTATCCCAATGTTTAGAAATCCTCAGCACTTCTACAACTGCCTTGGCGTGGAAAGCATTAGGTTTCACTCAATTTGTTAAAAGAAGTTTTTTGAATGTTTAATAAATGCAAAATTCCTTAACAGAAGTTAGCAAAAACCAGAGATGAATTAGAACTGGGGTCAGCTCTTGGGAAGTGGGCAATCCCGGGGACCAGGGGACAGTCCTGGAGGAGCACCCGGGGCGCCAGCCATTCCCACTGTGGAAGCTGAAGAAGCCACTAAACTGATGGCTGGGGCTTCCGGGGGACCTGGGGTGGGGGGAGGGCTCTGGGTGCTTCCAGGCAGGGCTTAGGGCTTCACGCAATGGCCCCGCGTGGCCGGCACCCTGGCAGTGCGAGGGTCCAGGGCAGGCAGGTGGGGCACGGACACAGAGGCCTGTAGGGCCCATACAGAGCTGGGGGTTAACGTCGCAGGCCAAGGGGGCCAGGGGATGGGCCGAGGGTCCACCTTGGGTGCTTTAAGAGCTCACGCCAGCCCTGACATGCCCAGTGCAACATACCACTTGTAGCTTTGGAAGAGAGGTGCTCTCTCCTCACTAATATGGATCCGTGCATACCAGCAGGAAGTGACTCTTGGTCCTGTCTCTACCTCCTGAGTACAAAAGCTTTTCAGCAAGCCCGCGGCTCCTTCAGCTCCCCACACGACACAACTGTCATTCTCTTCCCATGTCGGGAGCTCAGTACTACTTGATGCGGTAACAGTGCAAGCTCAAAGCACAGCCCTCCTCAGCCAAGCTGGGAAAGATGCATCCGGCACGTTTGGAAACCTAGTCAAGGCTCCATATTTGTGAATTTATTTTTCTTAATTTTACTGGATATAATAACCAGCCCTTACATAAGAAACTCTGTTGTAAGCTGATATTAATTAGTGAGGGAAACGAAGAAGTGCTATCATTCTCACAAGGCAGTGTTGATGTTTAAGCCACACCCCAGATGATGGACAATACTGCCCTCAACAACGCACACAGAGAAGCCGCCTTGTGCACAGGTATCTAACTTAGGTAGGACAGGATGCATTCCCGAGGCAGCTCCCCAGACAGGAAAGGGATGCGGCCGTGCCCTGAGAGTCACCACAAACCCCCGCGTGCCACGGAGAGGGCGGAGGACGAGGAAGTGAGAGAGGACAGTCCGCCACAGGGGAGCCATGGAAGGAGCTCAGAGAACCGAACGCCCCTCTCAAACAGGGCCAGGCCCCACGCGGGGAGAGCCGACCCAGGCCCGACACTGCTACGGAACAGCACACCCTGGCCTGCCTGGCAGCCTGGAGCCCGGGGCCCCAGCCAGACTTCCCTCTGCTACGGCACCGTGTGAGCGGCCTTTACAGAGTCCCCGACAATTCCTGGGCTTCGTGTCCTCTGATTCTAAAATAATGACTCTGCTAACATGCTGTCCTAACAGAATAAAACAAGCCAACCTTCTTTTGGCCCCTGTGGCTTTCGAAACCACTTTAACCACTGCCTTCTCTGGAAGTCCACGAGGCCCTGAGGACGAGTCTGGGGCCGGCGGTGGGGGGGGGGGGCGGGGGGAGGGCGGGACACACTCTAGGCCAAACCTCAACCCTCCTGAGAAACTTCAAGAAGAGGGCGCCCTCGTGATGCTTCCCAGTGGCCCTGAAGGCGTGGAGCTGGGGGCCCCACCTGCCCCTCCTGGGCCCCACCCCCACCCCTCCAGACCTGGAGGCCAGCCCAGCACGGTCGCTGTGTGGGACAGGCAGGCAGCAGGACCACAGCTGCACTGGTTGGGAGCCTAGAGGCTAGGATTTGGCAGAGTACCATTTACTCATCCAGATTCAGAATTCAGAAAGAAGCCGAAGTGTTGTTGGGTTTGCTTTCTCTTCAGCTTTCAGGCTTTAACTATTAGCACCTATTTATTTCCTCTCAAGGTACGTCTTTTCTCCCGAAAACTCATTCTCCTGCCTATCTTTCTGTTTGCTTTTCTGTTTGCCTCCTGTTTTCAGGTCTCTGTAAGCTACCAAAGAAAGAAAACATAGTTTCAATTCAACCCAGGAAGCCTTGAGCTGGTCTCTGAGGCCCTGGGCACTGGCATGGATTTTTGCCAAGATGTATGCATATTCCCTTTTCCCCTACAGGCCACCTTCAATCTGGAAGCTAAGGTACATCTCATAAGTTAATCAGCCAGCCTCAGAACTGGGGGGAATGGCCAGATCTGCCAAGAACTCGGTCATCTGTATGAAGACATCCCAGTGCTACTCAAAGCCACCAAACTGAGCACTTTACTCCTGACAGAAGAAAGACTGCCTACACATCCGGTTATGCCTGCCTACCCAGGGGCCGGGCTGAGAGTGCCCGTGGCCCCCCAAAACCTGTCAGCACAAAGGGGCTAGAAAGTCCTGAGCAAGATGTAGATGAGGCTGGAAGCCACGTGACCCACACAGAATTCTAGAGGGGATTTGACTGCCCCCCACTGTGGGACCCAACTCTGATCTCTGATCCAGTCCTCTGAGATTTGTAGGGATTCCATTGCCCCAGCCTTTACCTCATTACAAATTGAGCCTTCTGCTCCTCAACAGTTGTTACAACGGTGGAAGAAAGAACTGAATCCATGAGCGCATAATAAACACACTGCGTATCCAGCGCCATTACAAACCCTGTAGGAAATACACAGGAAGGGGCAGACAAGGTACAGCTTTGGGGCCCTGAAATCCAAGGTGGAAGGAAGGTACAGATATACTCAGCACACAGCTAGAAGCAACAGAGGGCAGGACAAAGTCCAGCACAAGTTTGTGTAGCGGTAATTAGGGCTGCCCTAATTCTCAGCCAACTCATCCGAAAGCAGCCTCTTTCAAACTCCAGGGTGGGCATGTTTTTCAGGGAACATGGCCAAAAAGGGACTTGGGCCCAAGACAGTAGTGGACACAAGTGTGAGTCTGAAGGGCAAGGTTAAATACAAGCAGTAAGAAGTCCCTCTCCATTGTGGGTGTCCTCCTGAACCTGGCTGCTAACCCTTGCCCCTGGCCAGAGAAATGGCTCTGACGAGCAACATAAGCCTGCTCTCACTATGCAAGGCAATCAATCAACTTTGCCTGTACTCAATACCATGGTGCTGAATGCTCTAAATTTTAAGAATGGACTCTCTCCCTGCTTCACCTGAAAACGGTCAACCCACATGGAAGATCCTTTCCGGGAAAAGGTGATTTTTCACCACGGAAGGCTGCTTCATTCCCTTTAGACTTACTTAATTCACTCCCCTTTTAGTTTGCTGGGTGGGTTGTTTGTTTGTTTCCCTTGAAGACAAGCCTCTGCCTCCATTGGTTTCTTTCTTTGGTCCCTTTCTTGTCGGTTATGCACAATGACATAATCTGCTCTCCAGAGGCAGAGCCCCCTCCCCCAGGCTGAGCCTGGTCCCAACACGGCCCTGAAGACAAACACACTTTTATGAAGTGATGACAAGGGTTTCCTCTAGGTGGAAACTGTGTGGACGAGGGTTACAGGGCTCCCCTCTCATGCTGGCTCTGTGGCAAGCTGCCCAAATTCCCTCGTTTTACCCTCCCCCCGCTCCCCCAGCCAACCCGCCCTCTTTTTTGTTGTAGGAAAACACCCACAGATCGCAGCTGTATTCAGATGGGATACCCACATTAGGGCCAGTGTGTGCAACGGAAAGATGGGTCGGAAGCCAATGAAATTATACAAATATACAAGAAGAAAGGTTTTCTTCTCCACAAACGGAGGGGGATATATACCTCTTTCGGCTCTGGAATATACGTAATATTGAAGCATATTAATGAGTACGAAAGCCTTAATGTACTAAGAATGTGTGCCTTTGATAGAAACTAGCTTTTACAGAGTTTCTAAATGATTCCCAGCTAAGGCAATCTGAGGAGATTATAAGAGAAAATAGAGGGTGGGTATTAAAATGCCAGTGTGTTTCCCAGGACAGAAGCCATCTACTGACCACTATTTATTGAAGGCCCCCCCCCCACCGCCATGGCCAGGCTCTGTGCTCAGTGCTGCTGAACACACCAAATACCCCCACAGAACCAAGTGTGCCTGTCTCTCACCCTCTCCCCACCTTTCCCTGAAGGATCAGACTTGCACACCTGCTGTCGAACCCCTGAGACAAACGAAAACGGTGGGTCCTTGTGGAAGCTTACCCCGCCTCCCTAGCTCTAGAAGCAGAAGCGCTCTGGGGCTCCCCGCGGGCTCTCAGTAGGCGGTGGCTGTCTTCGGGGGCACTCACATGGCCCTTCCCCAGGGACGGCTTACAGTGGAGGGGGGCTGCGGTGCCATCGTCGCACCCATTCAGCAGGCCCTGGCCAGCTCTTGTGTGGGGCCTGGCTTGCCGGCGGGCCTCGCGGTCACCGTGGTGTGGCGCCGGGATGCCTCTTGACAGCTTGTATCCATGAGAAATCAGGAGGTCCTCTACACTGTACATAATGCGCTGGCTTCATCGGAGCTCGGCCGCCGGGATCGTCGCGTTGGCAGGACCCACCCTGAGGGGACAACAGACAGGGCTCATGAGGCGTGTCTGGTTCTACCCGAGCTGCGTCTGACACCCCCTCCTCCCCTTACTCACACCAACCTAGTCCCCGGCTAGGAATGCAGCATGGTGCCTGCCTGGAACGTGAAGGAATGGAGATCGCTCCTCCTAAAATTAAGCTCCATCTTATCAATGGGGAGGATGGACATGGCATGAGCTCTGCAGGATGAGGTAGGAAACCTGGGGACCCCACCCTCTGCCGGCCGCCTCTTGTAGAAGAGTCTGGAATAGTGTTTAAGCAATGAAATGATTAACAGTGTCCACCATTCCCTTGCTCTGGGCATCCAAAAACAGCGGGCATGAACAGAGAGGACAAAATAAATACAGACGCGGAAGCTGCAATTACTACGTCAGGTTTCTAAAAAGAGAAATTGCCAGTGTCCAGCTTTATCTTATTATACTTGTCATCTTGTAGCCATACCTTTTGCTCTCAAAGGGCAGAGTGGGATCTTTAATCAGCAGGGAGCTGTGATCCGCCCTGGTGCTCTGGGTGGTGGCCCTGCCAGGCCACTGCGAACAGAGCCGAAGTCTCTAGGCTCGTCGTGGGAGACCATGTGCCCGGCTGACCCAGCACATACACCCGGCACACTACACAGTCCCCAACTTCTCCCTTCCAACGTGACATTTAAAACAAATTTTTTTTAATGTTTATTTATTTCTGAGAGAGAGAGAGCATGAGCAAAGGGGCAGAGAGAAAGGGAGACACAGAATCCAAAGCAGGCCCCAGGCTCCAAGCTGTCAGCACAGAGCCAGATGCAGGGCTTGAACTCATGAACCACAAGATCATAACCTGATGCTAAAGTCAGACGCTTAACTGACTGAGCCACCCAGGCACTCCCCTCAGCGTGAAATTTTTAAGACTCAGATTTCTCGCCAGCAAACCTTGGGGCAGCTCTTTCATCTGGGAGCCATAGTCAAATCCCACTGTGGTAGATGAATTCAACTTGGGCAACCCCCTCAGTCAACCGGCCGGAGCAGCAGGACCACGGAAGAAGAGCAGGAACCTACCTGAGAGCACAGGTGTGAAAACAGGTGGGGCCACCGTGTTTATTTTTACCCAAGGGAATCATCTTCTTTCCCGTGTCTTCCGGTTAGTGGGGAGGAAGGGCCCAGAGGCTGGGCCGTGGGCCGGCGCGGGGAGCACACAAAGGCCGGGCCTGAGAGGCCAGGCCAGCGCCAGCCCCACTTCGCTGGTGGACGGAAACGGCGCCGTGACAGCCCTCGCGAACAATGGCCAGGAAATGCCTGCCGGCCTGCATGCAGGTGAAAGGGAGACACATGTGCTTCCTGTCGGGGGAATTCTTACTGGGGCCCATCCCACAGTTCTGCTGACTGGGCGCCTCCTTGCTCCTCACCACGTGCTCTGCTACGCTGGCAGAAAAGTCCCGGCTGTCGGCGCAGAGAGCATCAAACTTGGGAAGTCAATAATTCCCCATGAGGCACCGAGATTCTGTAGAAGGCTGACAAGCCCTGGCAGTTACCGTAGCGGTGACAATGTGTCCGTGGCACTTCTGCCACTCCCGACGCTCCTGCTCTGTGTCTCGCAGCGGGTGTACCACTCAGGTCATTCACATAGGAATGGAAGGACCAGAGAGGCGAGCATTTGTTCTTGGACTCCACTGCAAGTCACTGGACTACAGTCACAGGGGAAGGTGATCCCATTACAAACACAGGGCTGTGAGAACACGGAGGCAAGGCCGTGAGGGCAGGGTCCCTGTTTTGCTCGGTGCTGTACCCCCAGCATCTAGCACATAGTCTGCCCTCAGTAAATAACTGTTGAATGAATGCATGAATACGAGAAAGGGACATTTGAGCTGGGTTTTGAAGAAGGATTAGGAGTTCACTAGATAAACTGCATGTGCGTACGAGTGAGGGAATTGGTATATAAAATAGATCTGGGGTACAATGATCTCAGAAGTAAAGAAATGACAGAGCAACAAAATCCTGACAGCCTTGATCAGGGAGGGTCCCCATGCTGACTGGCTTGATGTCGCACAGCCAGTCAGCGCCACAATTAACACTGGAATTTAGGTCTTATTACACTCCGTTTCTCTCTCTTACTATGTCAGGCTCCTCGAAAGCAAAGTGTACTGTACCCCAAGTGGCCATGCAAGACACAGGGGGACGGGCAGTGTCCACTACACTGCAACAGGGCTAGAGTCCCCTGCCAGAGCACAAGAAGAGGGGTCCCTCACCAAACATGCACCTGGGCCATCTTCCTACTGGGGGAGGAGTTGGTCTGGTTGGTCTGGTGTGGTCATGTCTACATGGTGATTCTGCTGAGCAAACCCTCAAGTGGCATGAAACCCCAGGCCAAGCCATAAACATCTTTCAAAAAAGACTCGAAATATAGGAGCCATAACTCGAACTTACAGGTCTGAGGTCAAAAGCGTATTGATTATTGGAAACTCTGAACTTGTTTTGCCTCACAGAGGTCTGTAGCCTGTGCAGAGCAGGATTTCGAAGTCCACCAGCTCCAGGACACAGGGCCTAAAGCCATGCGGGAGAGCAAAGAGGAACAACGGGGATGGCCCGCAAGCCCCACAACCCAAATGGGCATTCCCAGCCACTCCCCAATCCATGAGGACTTCTCTCCCTTGGGCCGACATGCTTCACCTTCTGATCCCAACTCTCCACCTGGGCCTCCACCTCATTTCCACCCATGCTAAACATCACTGCTCCGCTTAAACAGATTTCAGAACAGTTAATGGGTTTTCCAATCCCTATCACAGTCAGCTTACTTTCTTTAGCACTCTTATCTACTTAAGATGGAATGGGCTGCCTCAAGAGGTAGCAAGCACCCCATCACACAGCAATCACAGCGGTCACCATTAGAGGATGCCAGCTTGCCAAGGAGACAGGCATCTGATGAACTGCTGGACAAAAAGCTGTCCCTTTCTGATCCTGAGATCCCAGGATTCTAAATCAACAGTATTTAATTTGATCACCCACACACCAACTCACAGGGTTGCTGTAAATACAAATACACAGCAAAATCTGCCATAAATCTAAGTTATTATAGCATTAGATTTAACAACTTCAAAAGGTATGTGTATAGCTAAAATAATAAAGTATCAGGTGTGATCATTTTAATCCTAGTGCTAATGCTGATGATACCCAGCCCCAGCTATAACCTCAGGAATAAGTCACTAACTGCACCAAACCTCAGTTTCCTGATCTGCAAAATGGCAACACTACCATCTGCCCATCCCATCAGACTGTTTGAGGCCCAAATAAGGATATATAAAAGTATAAATTATTACACAAATACACAATTGTGGATTTATCATGCTACAATGGTTCTAGTTTGTCTCTTGCCTTATGGAAAGGCTTAACATTACTTGTTAATTTTCACCATGCAGTTCAGACCATTTCCTAATTCCTCTTATATCACTTAGGATCTAACTTTTTATTTCCAAGGTCAAATCTGCTTTATATCAACCACATATCTCATCTTTTGTGAATGGATACTTCAATCTCCATCAAGTCGCTTAGAATAGTAAGTGGTATTTTGTATAGCCCCAAACAGTGAAACACAATTCCTGAGTGCTTATAATGCATCAGACACTGAAAGTAAAATAATGAATAAGACACATATTTTGCCCTTGAGGATCTTACTATCCTGCTGTATAGACAGCAGGAAAATAGGCAGAAGGGACCCTAACCCAGTCTCAAGGGGTCAAGGAAGCTTCTGGAAGACTGCTTCTAAGCCAAATAAATCCTCCACCTCAAGGTAGACCTGCAATGTAAATTCACTCTGTAAGTATGATTGTCCAGCCAGTTCATTTAAGAAATGTTTGCCTTAAAATGAACTATTGGGACCTAATCAAGATAAAAAGTTTCTGCATGGCAAAGTAAACAATCAATAAAACTAATAGGCAACTGACAGAATGGGAAAAGATAGTTGCAAATGACCTATCAGATAAAGGGCTAGTATCCAAAATATATAAGGAACTCAACAAACTCCACACCCAAAAAACAAATAATCCAGTGAAGAAATGGGCAGATGATATGAACAGACACTTCTGCTAAGAGGACATCCAGATGGCCAACAGACACATGAAACGATGCTCAGCGTCCCTCCTCATCAGGGAAATACAGATCAAAACCACACTGAGATACCACCTCACGCCAGTCAGAGTGGCTAAAATGAGCAAATAAGAGAACTCTAGATGCTGGCGAGGATGTAGAGAAAAGGGCACCATCCTACACTGTTGGTGGAAATGTAAACTGGTGCAGCGCCTCTGGAAAACAGTGTGGAGGTTCCTCAAAAAATTAACAATAGAACTCCCCTATGACCCAGCAGTAGCACTGCTAGGAATTTACCCAAGGGATACAGCAGTGCTGATGCACAGGGGCACAATGTTCACAGCAGCACTTTCAACAACAGCCAAATCATGGAAAGAGCTTAAATGTTCATCAACTGACGAATGGATCAAGAAGACTGGTTTATGTATGCAATGGAGTACTACATGGCAATGAGAAAGAATGAAATCTGGCCATGTGTAATAACATGGATGGAACTTGAGGGTGTTATGCTGAGCAAAATAAGTCAGGGAGAGAAGGACAGATCCCATATGTTTGCACGTATAGGTGGATTAGGAGGAACTTAATGGAGGACCATGGGGGAGGGGAAGGTGAAAAATAGTGGGGGAGAGGGAGGGAGGTAAACCATGAGAGACTCTTGAATGCTGAGAACAAACTCAGGGCTGATTAGGGTGTGAGAGAGGGGAAGGGGGGTGATGGGCGTGGAGGAGGGCACTTGTTGGGATGAGCACTGGGTGTTATATGGAAACCAACTTGACAATAAACTAAGAAAATAAAGAGAAATGTTTGCCTTCCCTACTTTGGTTTGTTATCTTGTATCAGATATTCACAGTGGAACTTCTAGGAAGAGTGGTCAGGACAATACAGGGGCCTGGATATGATCTCAGGGAAGGAGGGGACTTTTCA